CCGAGGCGGCGACGGCGCCGAGGAAAATCGACTTGCTTACCCCGACCAGGGGGGAGGGGAGGTGCACATAGAGAAGCGACAGGAGGAGGATGAGGAGGGGGGAAGGGGTAGAGGGGGGGCGATGATGAGGAGGAGGTGGAGAAGGTGGAGGAGGAGGAGAAGGGTAGATAGAAGGAGGAGGAGGAGGAGGAGGAGGAGGAGGAGGAGGAGGAGGAGGAGGAGGAGGAGGAGGAGAGAGCCGAGCTCAGGGCGAGAGGAGGATGTCCGCCAGGGCGACGGGGGAAGGGTTAAGGGCAAGCTAACAATATTCTCATGTGGGGTCTGACCGTCGGAGTAATTATAGATCATCCAAACTGTAGATGTGGGGATGTAAGCCTGATTCTGCTCAGGCTACATCCGGGTCCTATACTGAGCGATGCGAAGTTACATGAAACACATCGCAGAACTCTGCTACGAATCGCCAGCAGCGTTTCGCACAGGAGCTATTCCACGCGGGTTCTATCCATCCCGCAGCGTTTGCATCGAGGGGCTTCGCGGCTCGACTGCCCGAAAAATCGGGTGGGCTGTGGCGAGGTCTCGCCCGGTGGGCGCTTCGTGGGCGCTTCGTGGGCGCCCCGTGCGCGGGGCGGGCGTGGCGAGGTCTCGCGCGGAGGGCCGCCGTGGACGCCCCGTGGGCGCCCCGCGTGCGGGGTCGGGTGGGGCGAGGCGTCGCCTGCGGGGCGGCCGCCGGCGCCGTGCGCTGGGCGGGCGTGGCGGGGGTGTCGCCGGGTGGGCGGCCGCGGGCGCCCCGTGGGCGCCACAGGGCTTGGTCCGCACGGCTTGCACCACGCTGCCTGCGCCGCTCGCCTCGCATGTTCCGGGCATCGCTCGGACGTGTGCGTTTTTTTTTTCCTCGGCGAGGAGCATCGAGGAGCATCCTCGGTCATTTGGCGAGAGAAAGCCACGCACGGAACCGAACACAAAGCAGGGAAAGGACGCCCGAGCGATGGCCAGCATGTGGCACCCGGCGGGTTGCACCACGCAGCTGGCACCGCGTGGCTCACGCCACGCTGCTTGAGCTGCGTCGCTTGCGCGGTCCAGTTCGCACCGCATGGCTGCGACCACACAGCGTACACCACACGGCTTGCACCACACAGTTTGCACGTGTTGGCACCACAAATCGTGAACCACACTTACAATTTGCACACCCACATCGCAATGTCTCACCGTTCGGGGTCCACGCTGGCAATATGTTCGTCTGTACGTGGCGAGGCGTGAACGGACGTGCCGAACTTCCCAGAATGCTCAGGCCTGACAGGACGCGTTGGCGCGGACAGCGCTGGCCTTACTTCCGTCCCCGCGGGGACGAGCAGGCTTCGAGGCCAGAGCCGCATTTCTTGCGACCCCCTTCTGCCAAGGGAGTGGGTGGTGTCGCCGCCACTCTCAGAGGGAGACCCCCTTCGCGAGGGAGACGTAGAGGCCATCGCCGTCCCTCTCAGAGGGATACTTTGAGGCTAGCGAGGGTTCGCTCCCTCGCTCACCAACTCCGGTGCGGCGCGATTGCGCGAGGAGAAAAGTGCATGCCTGCGCGCGCGCACCGACATGTGTCAATGTGATCGAAGACGCTTGTGGCGAACCTCCGCCGCCACGTGTGTTTGGAAGACGTCCATGCGGCCAAATGCAGGGCCGAAGTCAGACCAAGCTGTTGAATGATGTGCTCCCCCCCAGCCGTCATGCAACGCCTTGGGGAAGCAGTTGTGAGAGGAAGGGGAAAGAGAAGAGAGGGATAATGATGAGGAGGAGGAGGAGGAGGAAGAGGGAGAGGAAGAGGAGGAGGAGGAAGAGCAGGAAGAGGAAGCATCTTGACTGATTGAGAACACATGGAACATCCATGGTATCAGCCAGCGCAGACTCCACAAATATATCAGAACACTGCACTGAAGTGGACTGGAGTGGACTGAAGTAGACTGGACTGGAGTAGACTGGACTGGGGTGAGCTGGACTGGCCTGCACTGGATAGACTGGACTGGACTCGTTTGGACTCGATTTGGGCTTGGGGTGAGATGGACTGGACTAGACCAGGCCAGGCTGGTCTGGACTTGATTGGACTTGGGATGAGATGAGCTGGACTGGACTGAATTGGACTGGACTGGCGAGGACTGGACTGGACTGGTGGACTGGGATGTGGTGCATTGGGCTGGGCTGGACTGCATAGGGCTGGACTGGGCAGGATTGGGCTGAGCTGGAATGGACTGGACAGGGCTGGGCTGGACTGGACAGGTCTTGACTGGACTCTACTCTGGACTCTTCTCTACCCTATTCTATTGTACCCCACTCTAATCTATGTTTCCCCACTCTACTCTACCATCTATCATACTCTGCTCTTTTTGGATATACTCTATCTTATTATCATCTACGCTACTCTACCCTACTCTACTCTACTTTGTTCTGACCGACTCTACCATCTACCCTACTCTGCTCTACTCTACCTTACTATACCCTATCATCATCTACTCTAGTCTACCCTACTCTACTCTATTCCTGCTCGGTAATTATTCCTTATGTGTAGATACTGCCAGTTTTCCAAAAGACTGGCCTGGTCGATAGCGACCAGATTCAGGGGTCCCATCCGACCTGTCAAAAACCATAACAAGTCAATGTGTCTCGTCTCAACATGGGCATTCTGTCGGTCATGTTGGAAACTGCGTGGCAGGAAGGCGGACGTCCCGCTCGAAAGGCCGAAATGTCGCTCTCCCGTCGGCGCCGTGCTCGTTTCTCCAGAGACTTGGGCTCCCGCTTGGGCGCGGCGCACACGTTTCGCATGCAGCTTCGGCGACGCACGAGCGGGCGAAATGTCGTTCTCGCCTCGGCGCCGCGCAGATCTCGCCCGAAAGTGGCGCTCCCGCCCCGCCAGACTTGGGGGCCCCGCGCGAGTGGGCGACTCGTCACCCTCGCCCAAGCCACGCGCGCAGTTCGCTCGACAGTGGCGTTCCCTTCACGGGCGCGGCGCACGGCTCGTTCGCCGAACCACACGGGAGCGAAAGCGGCGGCGGGGTCGCGCGAGAGCGGGCGAAATGCCGACCTCGCCCAAGCGCCGCGCAGTTTTGCGAGTGGAAGCGGCAGCTCTGTGTCGGCGTGGCGCATGCTCCGTCTCCGACGCGCCCTGCGGAGGTTGTGCTGTTCCCGCCCCTGCGCTGCCCGCGCAGTTTTCTTGCGCCAAGTCGTCGGACGCGGGGCCGCGCACGAGTGCCTTCCGCTTGCGAGGTGGGAGCGCGTTCCGAGTTCTCCAAATAGGCTTGCCCTATAGGAGTTCTGATTCAAATTCTACTAATTGGTCCGTTGCCCCCCCGAATTCCTGTGCCCCCTAATTCCTGTGGCTATGCCTATGCCTCCCCCTAACTCCTATGCCTACGCCTATGCCTGTGCCTTTGCACCACCTCTGAGCGCTCCTATGCCTATGCATATGCCTATGCACCACCTCTGAGCACTCCTCCACCTCTTTGCATCATCGCCAGCACCATCAGCATCACCATCGCACTTGATCGCTGGCTCTTGCTTGCTTGCACTTGATCGCTGGCTCTTGCTTGCTTGTTATTGCTCGTTTGCGCTTGCTTGCTTCCGCTTGCTTAATTGCGCTTGCTTGATGTTGCTCCTCCCGTTCTCCTCCCGTCCTCCTTTCGTCCTCCTCCCATCTTCCTCTCGTCCCCCATTCTGTCCTCCTATCTATTTGGAATCAACGCTGGCTGATATTATATTTCAAGTTGTGCCACACTTGGGTCTTACGTTGTGGGAGGGAGGGTTGGAGTAGGCGGGGCCCTCAGACTCGCTCGACCGGGCTAACTCGACCCTACTCCTACTCTGTTCTCCTCTACTCTTCTCTACCCTGCCCTGCACTACTCACTCTACTCCTTCTCGCCATTGGAAGCCACGCGAATACGAGGAAGCCATGCGGATACAAAGAAGCCTTGCGGATACGAGGAAGCCATGCGGACACGGGGAAGACATGCGGGCGGATACCAGGAAGCCATGTGGAGGCGAGGAAGCCATGCGGATACGGGGAAGCCATGTGGGCACGAGGAAGCCATGCGGAGACGAGGAAACCATGCGGATAGTACAGGAAACCATGCGGATACAGAGGAAGCCACGCGCAGAGTTCGACGATGCACGGGCCAAACACGGGGCGGGGGACCAGTGGACATGGAGTGAGGACTCCGATAGGCAAGCATATTTGTAGAATTCTGGGATCCTGGATGTCCTCATGGAGCCCTCTTAGAGCGACTTGGGTGCCTCTTGGGCCGTCTGGGGGGCATCTTGGGCAGTCTTGGAGCCATCTTGGCCGTCTTGGAGGCCAACTTGAGGAACATCTTGGGCGCCAAGGAGGCGGGCAAAGGTCCTTTCCGGTTTTGTCTGGATGTCCAGCGGGGTCGACCGAGTTAACGCGTCGTGAACGCTCTGGAAGGGCTCAGAACAATCAAACATCTAGGCAAGACCACAGGGGCGGCGTGTGTAGTAACCTTGGGCCCATCTCGCCACCGTGCTCGGGTCGTTGGCAAGAGGCCTCGCGGATGCCTCTCTTGGATGCCTTTTGAGCTCTTGGGGCGCCTCTACGGTGCTGATTGGATATCTCTTTGGGGATTTTTGGGAGGGGGTTTCTTGGGGGCCTCTGAGGGCCTGTTCGGGGGCCTCCTGTGGGCCTGCTGGCTATCGACCATCTGGGAGCGGGGGGCCTCGACATGACAGTTTGCGTTCTGTCGCTTGGGCTGCTCCTCTTGAGCGGGTCTAGGGAGCATGTGTTGGTCCATCTTGGACGCCCTCGCCCCCACATGAGCCCCTGATGGGCACTGGGAGCCCCTGGACGGGTCTGGGGGCGAATCTGGATTCCGAACCACGCTCCCCAGGCTTTTGAAAAAAGCCACGCGACGCAGCCTACGAGCGCCCAGTAATCATGGGAACCTGGGGTCTGCGGCCGTCCTGAAGGTCTTTGCTCAGCTCGTCCTCGCCATGCACGGTGCGAGCTCCGCAGTCTTCTTGGCCCATGCCAGCGTGGCTCAAGCTGCGCCGGCGCCGAACATGCAGGAAGCTCGGAGGCCTGGAAATTGGCACCAACACCAAGACAGAGGGTTGCCTCCACAGGGGGAAGATGATCCTAGATTGTCGGTGTTGGTGGCAATAGTTCGGCCACCCTGGAAGCCGAAATATTGCCACCATCACCGAGATCGGGATCTTCTTCCCCCGGTGGAGGCACACCGCCGCAATCGGTGTTGGTGTCAATCTCTAGGCCCTGCGAGAAGCTGCGCCGGCGCCGAACATGCAGGAAACATTTTTTTTTTCTTGTGGCATCGTCGAGCCCAGGCATCTTCGAGCCCATCTTCGAGCTCGCTTCTCCTCCTCCTCCTCCTCCTCCTCCTCCTCCTCCTCCTCCTCCTCCTCCTTTCCTCCTCTGTGCAGGAAGCATCCCTGCACGCCCTCGAGACGACCGGCACGCTCCGGGGCGCGCTGCTGCAGCTGTGCCCCCGCGGCCTCGCGCGCCTGGGCGGGGGCTCGCGCGGGCTGCGCGCGGCCGTGGGTGCGGAGCTCCCGCGGCTGGCGCGCTGGCACGGCCTCCCGGCGGCAGGTCTGGGAAGCAGTGAGTCCCGGTGGCTTCCGCTCGCCTTGCTTGTCGGCGACTAGCGCCCAAGAGCCCTCAATACTGTAGCGCCAAACGGCGCCCCCAGCAGCGCCGAGCAGCGTCCAAATAGCGCCCATATCGACAAGTAGCGCCCAATAGCGCCCATATCGACAAGTAGCGCCCAATAGCGCCACCAATAGCACGGTCTCCCGGCTGCAGGTCTGGCAAGCAGTAAGTCACGCTTGCTTCCGCTCGCCTTGCTTATCTCAGGAGGGAAAGAAACACACAGACACAATTCATCGTCGACTCCCAGGAAAAGATGGGAAAATATGGGAAGTGGGGGGGAAGGCAAAAGAACAGAAGATATGGGAAAGTATGGGGAATCCTTGTATTTGTGAGTATTTATGTATTGTATTGGTTTTTGTATTGTTGGCTGCGGCAGGGTTTTTGTATTGGGCCTGGCAGGCTGTGTGAGGCTGCGTGTGATTGGCAGTCGGACTGGAGTGATGCGTTGCTTGGCGAGTTCTCTGACCTTCCCCTTTCCCCCCTCTCCATAATATTGCGCTGAAAAAAATTGTGTGTATTCATTTGTGTGTCCTGGGGCCCCTTCATTATCGGCGAATAGCGCCCAAGAGCCCTCAATAGCGCCAAACGGCGCCCCCAGCAGCGCCGAGCAGCGTCCAAAGAGCGCCCACATCGACAAACAGCGCCCAGTAGCGCCACCATGGGAGGGAGATGTGTCTCATGTCAGCTGTGCGCGGGATCGGGTACGCTGTTGGGCGCCATGGGGACGACCAAGAGCTTCCGTGAGTTGCTTTCTAAGGTTCGCTGGAGGTGATCGCGGTTGCGGCGTTGGCCCAGGCCGTCGGCGACGTGTTCTTCGAGCGGGCGTCCGATGTCTTGCGATCCGACAGCGAGCCCGTCATCGACGCCCTGGCCGCGCTCCTCAGCGCGCACCGCCGATGCAGGGTTTTTGTCGCCGGGCACTGCGGCAGAGGATGTCCCTCCGACTTCGCGCCCAGCTTTACGCGCATGCGCGGCAAGGCGGTGCTTCGGGCGGTGGTCGAGCGGGCGGGCTTGCGGGGCCACGTCGGGAGCGCGCTCCTGCTGGACCACGAGCGCAAACCGCGGCTCTTCTACTGTGGATGTGCAGCGTCAGTGGCCGCGCGCGACATCGCGCACGCTGGCGCGACGCCGTTGGGTGACGCGCATCCCCGTCTCGACTTCTCAAAGGCCGAGGTCCGTGTTGAGCTAGTGCATCGAGGCGCGGACCAAATCGTCGAGTACCAGCGAGGGCGGCGGTGGTGGCTGGCTCAGCCAGGCGGCGCCCCAGCCCTTCATCCAGACGGGCCAGACTGGATCCCCTTCAACGAGTTAGACCTTCGAGAGTGCAGCGAGGACGGCGGGGTCGGCGACGATAGCGACGGCGGGGATGCCTGACGGACCCGGAGTCAGCTGAGACTTAGTGTTCCGCGTGCACGTCGTGCACAAGCCATGAAGCTGTTTCGACCTACGTGCTCGACTTCTCGACCTCCTCGTTCTCCTCGTCGTCGTCTTCCTCCTCGTCCTCCTTCGTCCCCCGTGTGCTTCACATCCGCATGTTATTTTTCCCAAGGGGCTTCCAGTGAAGCCGGGGCACGCAGCTTTGTTTACCCGTGGCCGCGCATTGATGTATCGCGTGGTGTCGCGGATGGAGACAGGCGTGCGCGCTTGGAATCATTGCTCTGGAGCTGCCCCAGCCAGCACTGCGCGCGAGACCCAGATTTCCGACGACTCGATGTTGTCTGAGTTCCCAACCCCCGGAGCTCTCGACCCCTTCCCGATGACATTTGTTTGATCCTGGCTCGTTCTTGTTACGTAACAGTCCTGGGGCCCAGACCTGGCCCCAAAACGCCGACGGATGCGAGACACATCCGGCCAGCTCTTTCCGATTCGCCAGGAGGTCTGGGAAGAGGACAGGCGCAAACCAGGCGGGCGTAGGACGAAGATCGTTCCAGCGCGCCCCGGGTTGCTCTCAGCGTAGCTCAGAGCTCTCTGCAATGGCCGCGGCGTCTGACATACCCGCTAGAAAGGACGGAGGGCAGCACGTTTGCAAAATGTGGTTCTCGCCGCGGCGCCGCGCACGCTCATTTCAAGCATGTCCACCAGCTACACGGTTGAAAGGCTGCTGTTTTCCAAGTTGAGGTTCCCGCTTAAGACGTCATGTTTTGTGGCCCGAGGTTGTACAGCGCAACAGCTGCACAGGTGCAGGGCAGCCCCTCCTGAACATGGGGACCTCGCTCAATATGTTCCTGACGGTGTACGGCCCGAGATTGAGCATGTGCGGCGCTTGCGCGGACGGAGAGCAGGTCCTTTTCAAAACGGGGCTCCCGCTGGACCGTGCTTGTGCTCTTCCCGCTGCCATGCCTGGACAGCTGTTCCGCCTCCCGCTGGACAGCCGTTTTTGCTCCCGCTGAAAGGTTGTTTTGCTTCCCGCTGGACAGTTGTTTTGCTCCCGCTGGACAGTTGTCGGAGGCCTGGAAATTGGCACCAACACCAAGACAGGGAGTCGCCTCCACAGGGGGAAGGTGATCCTAGATTGTCGGTGTTGGTGGCAATAGTTCGGCCACCTTGGAAGCCAGAATATTACCACCATCACCGAGATCGGGATCTTTTTCCCCAGGTGGAGGCACACCGCCGCAATCGGCGTTGGTGTCAATCTCTAGGCCTGCGACGTTGTTTTGCTTCCCCGCCCGGTGGCCAGGAGGGAGGGAGGGCCGATGCTCGACACGACGGCGCCTCTCGCCTGATCTGGCAGGCCCACGGAGCGGGTCGTCCCGGGGGGGCGGTGCACTTCCCGCGGTGGGAAGAAACTCCCGTGGGGCCGATCGAGGGGGGAACTTGGGGCGGGAGGGTAAGGGGACAAAAAATGGAACCCCTTCGTCTTCGGGCCCGCATTCGTCCCCCCCCCCCCCCCTCCCCCCAATTTCAGAGTTGGGTTCGGCCTCTCGGAGGCCCTGGGGGTTCCACTTCTTTTGTCCTCTCACGCCCGTGCTGCCAAATGCTTGAGGCCAACTTTGAAATTGGGGGGAGGGGGGGGCGTGGTGTCAAGGGTTCCACTTGTTTGTCCATCTACGGGACGGTGCGCTGCAGCATCGCGGATGCATCAGCGCAGCCTGTTCTGCGCAGCGCTGGTGCCCCCAGACCACCAGGTTAGCAATGTTGGCGCGAACGACCGTTTTTGTTTCGCCGCCCGCAGGCCGCGCCGCGCGCGCATCTGAATCTTGAGATTCGGGGCAAGGGTGGTGGGGGGGGGGGGCGACAAAATTTGTTGTAAGCTTCGCGGAGGGTTGTGGGTTCATTATGGTCCTCCTCCTCCTCCTCCTCCTCCTGTCCTCCTCCTCCTCCTGTTGTCCTCCAGCATCGTGAACGGCTTCGTCCTTACATTCGCCGATGGCTCGGGGTTCCTCTACTCTGCAATGGTGCTGCTCTTTCTCCCTGCGCTGTGCGAGATGGCTTCCGTGGTGGTGGAGGTCGCTCTGACTCAAAGGTGCGCTCGCGCCGTATCTGATATCCTGTCCCTCCTCTCTCATCCCTTCCCATTGCGTTGATTTTCTCTATCCACGGACGTGTGTCATAGCTGGCCTGGAACTCAAAACAAAAACCATCATGCTATGCGTAATCGGGGTAGGGGAGTTTCGTACATAGGAGGAGGAGGAGAAGGAGGAGGAGAAGGAGGAGGAGGAGAAGGAGGAGGAGGAGTAGGAAGAGGAGGAAGAGGAGGAGGAGGAGGAGGAGGAGGAGGGTGAGGATGACGACGAGCAGGAGGAAAAGGGCGAGGCTGAGGAAAGATGAGGGCGAGGACGAACAGCAGCAGCAGGAGCTGGAGTGGAATGAGTGGGAGCAGCAGGAGGGCCAGGGGAAGGCGGAGGAGGGGAAGGAATAGCAGGAGCAGGTGAAGGAGGAGGAGAAGGAGGAGGAGGAGGAGGACGAGGACGAGGAGCAGGAGGAGGAGGAGGAGGAGGAGGAGGAAGAGGAGGAGGAGGAGGAGGAGGAGGAGGATCAGGAGGAGGGGAACTGAGGGGGGCGACAGCGATGAAAAACGGGCTCGGGTCCAGAGAAGTGGCCCGCGCTTGGGCGAGAGCGCCTTTTTGAACTACGGAGGCAAAGCGCCGATCCGAACATGAGGCCTACGCTGCAGCGGGAGCGCAACCTTGAAACACAGGAAGCACCTGGGCTGCTAAAACACATGTGGAAAACGAAACTCGGACCAATCCCGTATAACAATACGCGGAGGGGCGGGGCGGGTATCTCCCGCACGGAGTCAGGGGAGAGAGGAGAGCAGTACTCATATGGATACTGCGTAACTGGACGAGGAGGAGGGAGAGGAGGAGGAGGAGGAGGAGGAGGAGGAGGAGGAGGAGGAGCAGGAGGAGGGGAGGAGGGAGGAGGGTCTCGAGGGCCTTCCGAGAACGCCCGCCCATGCTCGCCGCTCGCTCCCCCCCCCCCCCCTTGATATTGATATTGGTATTGCTATTGATATTGGTATTGATATTGATATTGACATCGATATTGATATTGATATTGATATTGAGCAGGAGGAGGGGGGACGAGGAAGACCTCGCCCACCGCCGCCGCCTCCGCCAGTCCCGCGCGGGCCGCGCTGGCTCGCGAGCCTCGCCCCCTCCTCGGCGGAGGCCTCCGCGCCCCGCGCCCCCCCCTCCCCGGGGGACCGGAAGCCTCGGCCCTCGAGGTCGAGCTTCTGTGAAGTCGGGCCTGTCCCCCTACAGGGGGATTTTCGACGAAAAACATAAAACAAAAACCTTTTTGACATGTTTTGACATTTTGGGTGTATTTTTCTAGTATTTTTGAGTACTGTTTGACCTCTTTGGGGTGTTTTTGGGGTATTTGTTGATTTTTCTGCGACGCCCGCGGGGGCACGAAGCTAACGGCCAGGGCAGCGGCGAGGCGTCCCCGGGCCGCCAGCGTGCCGGACAGAAGCAAGAGGACGGGGGCTCTTCGTCGTTCTCGGCGTTTGGGCCCCCCCCCTACGGGGGACTACGGTTAAGTCGGGCGTGTCCCCTACAGGGGGATTTTCGACGAAAAACAAAAAAATGCCCCCAAAATAATCCAAAAATTCTATAAAAATAGTTTGGGGACTATTTTTGGAACATGCTTTGACCTTTTTGGGGCATTTAGGGGGTATCTTTTTAGTTTTCGTCGAAAATCTCCCTGTAGGGGGACACGCCCGATTTCAGACTACGGGCCCGTGGCCGTCAAGAAGAAGTTCCGGGACGAAGCACCAGTCTCGGGGAAGTGGTCCGGAGGTCCTGGGCCTTGGTTCGACTGGTGCGTCAAGAACTTTGGCCTGGCGTGCCGCCCTGCTGGTTTCGTGGGTGGACAGAACCCCCAATAGTGACACGTCGATTCGTGAATTGTCCGTCTTCGGCTCTCGAGAGGGGCGCCGTGGCCGTTCTTTTCCAGGATTGCGCCCGCCAGGTTTGGGGCCTCAGGTCGTTTTCATTAAACCACGTGTTACGAAAGGGGGGTCTGTCCATCCCCGATGGTTCTGGTGGGGGGCCACATGCGACCCCTACCCCTCCCCTCCACGATTTCTGAGGGGCAGGGTGGGGTTCACTTCGTTCGGGAGCTCCCGAGCGAAGTGAACCCCACCCTCCCCCTCAGAAATCGTGGGTGGTAGGGGTAGGGTTCGCATGTGGCCCCCTATCTGGTCCGCCACGCCTCGGCGCGGCGCGCCGCCCACGTCGCGGTCCCCGAGCGTCCACGTCCCGAGCCGTTCCGAGCCCCTCGCCCCGCGGAGCGGAGCGGCACGCCAGCCGCTGGCAGGGCACAGCGCGTCGCTCGGGCGGACGCCGCGACACGCTAGGCAAATGCTCCCGACCTAGGGCGACGAGATCTATGCATATCCACTGCTCCTGGCCAGGCCCATCCTGGGCCCAGGAGCTGTATATATGCCTCCCTGGCCAGGCCAGGAGGGCGTATACACCGCTCCTGGGCCCAGGATTGGCCTGGCCAGGAGCAGCGGATATGCATAGATCTCGTCGCCCTATGACCATGGTCGCGCTTCGCGCGTCGCGGTCTGGGTCAGAACGGTTGCCCTTCTCCAAAGAGGCTCGGCCACGCGCAGAGTGGGGTAGGGGGGGGGGGAAGTCTGTTTAGAAGAAGTCTGCTTCTTAGAAGGCGCGGGCCTCATCTGTAGATGTAGGGCGTCCTCTAAGAAGCAGCTTCCTTCTAAGAAGCATTTCCCCCTCTACCCCTGCCCGCTTGGGTGCGCCGCCAAACAGAAGCGCCGCGAGCCATTCTGAGGGGGGGCGTAACCCTCCTTTTCGAACCTTTTCGGTCCTCTGAGTGGAGGTGAAAAATCCCCACAAACCTGGCACCGTACGTGCAGTGCCAGGGGCGGCGGCCCGTCTTCCCATCTTACCATCATAGGGGGATGCGAAGTCCCTGAAGACGGGACGGGGTGGGCACGAGCGGGTATCATCATAGCCGGCTCAAAATCAAAAGAGGCATCATAGCCTCATCAGTCTAGATTGATCCACTCACGGATCCACTGCAATTGATTTCCATTGAGTTCATTCCATGCGTAGCATGCTCTCCCCAAACCTCCGATGTCTTGCTCTTGTCAACACGGGGTCCCTGGAGCCCTGGACCACTTCCCAGGGACCGGTGTTTCGTCCCAGATCGTGACCCTCCCAGGCCATGGCGAGGGCCCCCTGACGCCGAAGGCGACGAACGATCTGCGTTTTGTGTTTTCAATGCGTTGGAGCTCTGGGACTCCTGGCGCCCGGAGGAGGAGGAGGAGGAGGAGGAGGAGGGAGAGGTGGAGGAGGAGGAGGAGGAGGAGGAGGAGGAGGAGGGAGGAGGAGGCGGAGGAGGAGGCGGAGGAGGAGGAGGGGAGGTGGGGAGGTGGAGAAGAGGGAGGAGGAGGAGGGAGGGAGGGCAGGGAGGGAGGGAGGGAGGGAGGGAGAGGGAGAGGGGGGAGGGAGGGGAAGGAGGAGGAGGAGGCGGAGGAGGGAGGGCGAAGAGGACCTCGGCCCGTGCCGCCGGTGCCTGGCGCTCGGAGGCCGGCGGCCCGCCCCGCCGCGCGGCCGCGGGGGCGATGAGCGCCGGCGCCGTGAAGCGGTGCAGGCCTTTCCTGCAGCGGGCGGAGGAGCGGCCCCCGCTCAGACGCCGCTCTCGGGCAGCGGTGGCGAGGCTGCTCCTCGTCCCCCTGCGGCTGCACTCTCGTGTCCTTCGCCGCCTCCTCCTCCTCGGCTTGCCCGTCCTCGTCCTCGTCGTCCTCCTCGCCCTCCTCTTCATGCCCCTGCTCCTGCTCCTGCTCCTGCTCCTGCTCCTGCTCCTGCTCCTGCTCCTGTTCCTCCTCCTCCTGCTCCTGTTCCTCCTCCTCCTCCTCCTCCTCCTCCTCCTCCTCCTCCTCCTCCTCCTCCTCCTCCTCCTCTGTCTCTCTGCCTCCTTTTTTGATTATCTCTCTCTCTCTCTTTCTTTCTCTGTCTCCCTCTCTGTCTCTCTGCCTTTCTCTCTCTCTCTCTCTCTGTCTCGTTCTATGTTTAGGTCGATCTCTCTCGCTCTCTCTTGCTCTCCTTCTCGTCTTCCTTGCCCTCACTCTCCGCGTCCTCTTCCTTCTCCTCCTCTTCCTTCTCCCTCGCCGTAGCCATATTGGCTCAAGATGATTGGATGCGCAGCGCAGCGAGTGGAGACCGGTGATCCGAGGCGGCTTCCAGCCATTGCCCAGTCCAGGCCCGCCGCTGGCATCCGCACCCTGCCCAGGCTTCCCCTGCTGTACCGGAGCCCTCTCTCGGCTGCGCCCCTGCCTCCTGCCGAAGGGGCTCCAGCCGCCGCCATGGCAGAGAGGGCCAACATTGATCAGGAGGGAAAAACACACAGACACATTGAATCGTCGATCCCCAAGAAAATATGGGAAAATATGGGAATTGGGCGGGAAGACAAAAACCCAGAAAATATGGGAAAATGTTGGGAGTAGTTTTATTTGTGTGCATTTATTTGTGTGTCCTTGGGCCCCATTGAATTGATGCGGCCACCACCGGAGCTGCGTCTGGCGCATCGGACGAGCCCGCGCGGAGGCGGAGAGCAGCTCCCGAGGGTGAGAGGGAGCGCCCACGGCGCGCCTCCAGGCGCCGGCCTCGGGACCTCGATCGACCACCTGCTGCACCCCGGCACCGCCAGGACGCTCGATCTGGGACCGCCGCTGGGCGCTCGTGCCGCCCACCGCAGTCTGACCCCTTGGCTGTGGATCTGGACGCCCGAAATGGGTACGGAAAGAATGGGTACAATGCCCAACAGCAGTTCCTGTTCATTTTGAACAGGACTCGCTGTCCACGCCGCCGCGGCCTGTGTCCATTCGAGACAGAAGGCCGCCTGCCCAACAGCGGCAGCTGTTGGTTCGGGAAAACATTTGCTGTTGGGCATTGTGCCCATTGTTTCCATGCCCATTTCGGGCGTCCAAAGTGGAGGACCCCATGGAGAGCTGCCCCAGCTGGTGCATGAGCTGCCCCCTCGGCGCTCTCCCAGTGGAGCTGCCGCCAGCGCCGCAGGCGGTTCAGCACTGGCAGCCCCCACCAGCGGAGCAGGTGGCGGAGCAGGCGGAGGCGCCGGCGCCCCGTTCCCACACGCAGCGGCTGGAGCGGCAGACGCAGCCCCGGCAGACCGGCAAGACGCATCTCCACCCTGCTGCGCATGAGCATGAGCGAGCCGCGGGTGTTCACCCTCAGCCACCGCGTGAACCGCAACTGACACGACTTCTCGGATCAGGCCCTTCACGACAGATGCCCTGGAAGGGATTTTGTGTCTAGTGTCTGTTCAGGCTGCTGCAGCCCAAACTGCTACTTCACTTGACCAGGATTCGCACTGGACGCGCCCGCCACCGTTCCTCGCGGTCGCGGGAAAAACACTACAGCAGTATTTTAAGGATTCGGTGACATGAAATCGAAATTTTGCTCAAAAATGCCACTGGACACCTGTCGGGCTGCAGGCGAACGGTTGACGAACAACGTGCTGCTTCCGTTCCAGCGCGCATCTCCTGTCAGGGGAGCGGCAGGCGCATATGCCGAGCCCCTTTTCCGTCGACGTCCACTCGCCGACGGCAAATCCGCCGCGAATCCAGCAAACCCAAAACCCCATGAGTCACGAATTGTTCACGACTCTCATTCTGCATGTTTTTGTTATGCGATGGCTTGAGTTTCGTTTTTCATGGTTCATTGTTGTGTTTTGTTTATGCGCCGTGAAAGTATCTTATCGACAGCGCATGACAAGCCTTCGGCATGCCTTGTTAACCCTGGTGATGCCTCGAGAACCCTTGGCAGCCCGTGGAAAGCCTTGAGCAGCGTGTAGGCCTGTCAGGGCTTTTGGCTGTTGTCAAGGATTGAACACTGACCAATTAGATCTCCGAGTTA